ATGCGGACATGGCCTTGCAAAAGGAACTGAAGGTGTGTTTTCTCTGACTGAACCATAAAATTTTATGTTTATTGAATGTAAAAAATACAACTCAGTTGAACCAGTTCAGGTTTTGCCATCAACCGATGTCTCAAGCAGCCTAAAGTCAAAATCTTAAAACAAACTGGCTTATGAAATTTTGATGGTCATGTTGATAGTAAAGTAGTACTGTTTTTGTTGTCAAGTTTGAAGTTACTGAACTTGTTTAATACTGGGGCAGAAACCTGGACGCAAAAGGAAGCTCCGTGAAGAAGAAATTGTAAATTCAGCATCACAGACTGTTTACAAGTGGCGTGCGCAAAGGAAGCGGTGAGATGCTTTTAGTTTTTATTATCTTGTTAAAAAAAATGTTTTTGTTTTCTTGCTGACCTGTCAATTTACTCACCGTCGTTCGCTAAACTTCAGATGATAGGAATGACGAAAGCTGGACATTTGGGAACAGACAAGCTGGCGCTTGAAGAGATTCTCTTCCCTGTGACATCGCCCTTGCCCTTCCACAACCCCCCATCCATTACTTTCAGATACCTTTATAACCTTTGCCTGGTGCTATTTGTGGATCCTATGCCGGAGAATGTACTGCTATTAGTCTATTACCTTATGTCAATTTCTCGAAATGTTAAGTGATCACAGTCACCATGTAAGAACAATTCTGATGGGTATAGTTGAAAATCATGCCTGTGTTGTTATCAAGATATTTGTGATAGAATTTCAGTCCTGGCAGCTGATTAACTTGCATTCTACGATTAGAAAGCAGAGCCAAATTATCAGAGTTGCCTCGTATTTTTTATGCAAGAAAATGTGCACTACCAACATGCTTTCCGTTCAATCATGGCCATCCAATTTTCATCAAATGGTCTTTAACACAAGCTTGTAATGCAGAGGATCCTCTTCCCACAAAACCTATGTGAGGATCCACTTTTCTATGCATCAAACCCGCAATTGATATATTCTGTTTATTCAACTATAAGCTGCAGAGTTACACCTTTACAAGCCGCATCTTGTTCTCCCCCGAAATAAAAGGAAATAAACAAGGAAATCATTGTAAGCAATGTGATTCACATGATAGCCTCCAGACGTCCTGGGTTCATCCTGCTGCAATTCATGAATTTCCAGCCATCCTGAGTTCATCCTGCTGCAATTCATCAATCGGTGTTTGTTTGAGAATCAAGTGCTGTTATACCTTGAAACAATGTGTTCTGCAATTGCCAAGCTTGATGTCAAACCAGGGGATTCTATACCAAACAAGTTAACCAGCCCAGGAATACCGTGGACTTCCTCCCCCTGCAGTAGTCAGAGTGTTCAGCTTCACAGGTTTATTGATTCATACTTGAGTGAAAATTAAACTTCGAAGCTGATGTAGTGTGCTGGAAATGAATAAGAACTATGTTAAATCAGACAATAACCTGAATAACAAAATCCGAAGGGCGCTGTCCCGGGCCAGAAAGCTTTGGTCGGATCCCAGAATAACCAGGCTCCAAAGAACCATCCTTGAGATTTGGAAAGTACTTCCTTATCACAGAGTAAAATCCAGAACATCGGGTGGGGTTCACCGAGTAATCAAATCTGATGTACATAGATGCTAAAAGTCATACAACATCTTGGCATTTTCAAGAAGGAGAAACTATTTTTATATAAATCAGTAAATTTTAGGCAACAACTATAGTAACTTTATTTTAAAATATTGGACACCACTAGAACATTAGCATGCCATATTAGGTAGTATTTGTAACTCCATCGATTTCAGCGATGTGTATATAACAAGTAAAAAAGATCACATATAATGGCTTACCTATTCAGGAAACATGACATGTCATCCATTTTACCATCTAACCATTCAACATCTGGTCCAAATTTAACAAGGCCATTTAAGTCTAGTGTGACATGGACCCCTATGCCACCATCCTCTGGTAGAGGGTATATTAAGTGGCTGAAAGGACTCTTGGTTTGTGAGAGGGTGAAGTAACATCCACGGGCATAGTAAGCCGGGGGCACAAATGCTTGGTCAAGGCCATCAAGTCTTTTGGCAAGTGGAATTGCACTCAAACCTGCTGCATTTATCAGAAGTTTTGGAAGCAAAACAATCTGTGGGAGTACAGGAGAGCCTATAGAATGGTTCTCCAGCTCTTTGCTTTCAGAAATATGAAGCTCGAGCCCTTCATCTCCAACACGCCCACTAAGGACTGCTGTGTTATATGATGTGGTTGCGCCTAGGTTTTCAGCATCAGCCTGCATCACAAGAAAAGGAAATCGCATGACAGCATGAAAAGATTTAGAGTTTTGCATGATGCAACAGGATGAAGTGGACTAACATAAAATGAACATAATATAATCGTGTACAGGAAAGAGGCATGTGAAATATTTTGGATTATCTGGCCTGAACCTTCCAAACATTGCTGGGAGCTCATTTGAGAAGGAAAACGAAAGAAAGAAACATCAACATATCTTAACTAGTTAAAATTGTTTCGATAGTGCAGAGGCCCTCTACGCAGCGCTATTTCAGTTATCTGTACAGTTTTTTCACCCTCGGAGAGTGTGAAAAGGGACCTTTCAAATAATTAAATCATTTAAAGGATTGTAGCAGGCAAAATAAACAATGCGAAGACAAAAATGGTAAGTATCAAGAACAGATTAGCCAAGTACCAAAAGGGAGAGCATGAATGAATGTGAGTCAACAATCCCAGTACTAGGTGATAGCAAAGCTTTCAAACAACGAAGTTCAGGTTCCATCTCCATGGCCTGAGAACCTTCCATCATCTGAAGATCATCCACCCCATTGTCTTTAGCACTCTTGAGGAGCATGTCCAGCTTTGCAGTCTCTGCAACACCAGTAGCAACGATAAGTTTACCGAGCCGTTCATGGGGGATTGCTCGTTCTGCGCAGTACTTGTAGAGCATTTCCCTTCCTCTTACACAAAGATTAGCCTACAAAAAACATTTCGTAGGAAAAAAAATCTGTAATTAATTTCAGCATGGCAAGAAAGCACTTTGGTAATTCATCAAATAGAATAGGACAGAGAAAAGGATCATTATATTAAGAATGCCATAGACGGGCAGAAGGGGAAAGTGAAGTAATGAACTGTGATTCTACAAGTGCACTCAGCATTAGAGACAGTATATATATAGCTCAAAAGTATCGACAAGAATATTGCTACCGCAATGTGCAAAACTGAAAATAACACAAAGCAGGGACGAAGATTACTATTTGCCCGATAATTATATGTGTTTTATTTTCAGTAATAGTATTTGTACACCAGTCTCAAACTCTAAGGACACAGACACCTAAGAGACTGAAATGCTGAAATGCTAATGTCAACTGTCCAATGTGGTGACTGGTGAGAACTGACTGAACTAAACTGAAATATCACAGAAAGCTACTACTAGAATCCTTCTACACGAACTCGTGGATTATACGGCTCGGCAAGAACGGGGCGGACCTTGAGGCTGCGGGGAGGGTAGTAGATGCCGGCGTGGATGACCTCGCTGTTGCGGGAGCTGGTGCCGGTGCCGAAGCTGGAGGCCGCCTCGACCACCACCACCTCGCGCCCGGCCATGGCCAGCGCGCGCGCCACCGCGAGGCCGACCGCGCCGGCGCCCACCACGACCGCGTCCGCCGCCTCCCGGGGGATTCCGGCGGCGAACTGGGCGAGACCTCGCCGGCGGCAGGCCCGCGACAAGCGCCGCAGCGGAAGCATCACGGTCGCCCCGGTTTCGGGTAGCGAGTTGGGTCCGACCCTGGCTCGGTGGCACCAGTCGATCACTCTCAGAGCAAGTACAATAGTCCTATCCAGCAGGCTGCAACGGAGTCCACATCAGCAAAAATCTGATCTCCATGTTGGTCTCCATGTTTTACATTACTAGGAGAAGAATAAACCTCTTTTGGTAATATTGTAGGTTGGTGCTTGGTTGAATAATTCAAATGATCCAATCCAATCAAATTACAAGAACGACCAATATTGGAAAGAAGTTGCTTATTGGTATGAATGGCAGATATATGCTGATTGAAATGGCCACAAAGGTGTTGTATGTATTGGATCACAACAGGTGCAAATATCAAATGTCCATGTCTTTATTAGGGTCAGTCTTAGAGCCAACCTAAAAGCCAGCTTATTGTGTGGGAAGGCTTTATAGATGATGCGGCAGGGGCTTATAGCCAGCAGCAGGCTGTGCTATTAACCATGCTCTCAGCGAGGCCGCTACAATCGCCCAAGCCTAGCCCGATCGTGTCTGACAGTTTCATCTCATATCGAAATAATTGCCCCAGTAACTTTTTCTGAAGGAAATCACTGTCACTGGCAACTTCTTTCCCTGTAACGAAAGTAATTTCGCTCGTACATGTTGTGAAGATGCTTTTGGGACAAACCTACACATGATTTTTAACTGTCCAACCTGAATATTTTTCAAGATATTAGCAGAGGTCAACTTTGCCCATCTCCAAAAGGACAGGCAGTATAAATGCCAGCGACAGCCATCCGTTTATTTACTTCAATTGTTTTGGTTGGCACCGCTATAAGAATTTAATTTGATATATACATCAGGTCAGAAAAAAGGTTGGAAGTCTGCCAGCTACTCTTGCTTGGACATCTCACACCAATGACATATCAGCCCTACATCAGTTATCCACCAGCTAGAATGCTACTCGTAGATCTAATTGATGCATTGCCCAAAGCAAGCAAGCAAAAGGTGCAATAATAGAGATGAGTAGATGACAATACCATTTGAGTCATGACACATAGGCAATCTTTATGTTTTACTTCCACAGGCAGAAAGCATCGTTCTGCTACACAACATACAACAACTCAACTTCCCTGCTGAGAGCAAGGCACACATGGCATGACAACGCTATGTAGGGAGGAACATTACAAAGTGGCAAACTGCGGACCTAACAATCTATATCACCCCGATCTCCGGTAAACCTTGTACGCCCGTTACTTCCTAAGCATTTTCCACCTTCCCGTGGCCGTTTAGCAGTTGGTTTCATATACAGCCAGGCCTTGTAGTTCTGGTCCTTCCAAGCGTGGGTTCCTCTCGAAGCTGCACATAAAACAGAACGCCCACACTTGTCAACGAATGGCTCGACAAACGGAACAACGTAATGGTTTTTTGAACATGAACTGGAAAGTGGAGAGTGGATACAAATAAAAAAAATGCATCGTTATGAAAAGAAAACATAGTGGTTGAGATGCACTTGTAGAATTACAGTTCATTACTTCATTTAGGATGCGAGTTTACGGCGCTATGTGCCCACTCCGGCTCAAAAGGTTATCCATGCACTTTGGTTCACAAAACATATCAAATACTTAAAAGAGATTTAACAGAAAGGGATGAAAAAGAAAACACTAGTGTCAGGTGACGAAGGAAGTGCTTGGAATGGGTCAGCTAAACTATGCTCGAACCCACAGCAGCACAATAGGTGACAAAAAGCCTCCCATTCTTGCACTCACACACTTGGATGATGCCCTTTCAGAATGATAAGATTATATCTTCCGTATCAGAAATAGTGGTTATCCACCTTATCATGGAAACAGTCAACCAAATTAATTTTGCAAATATGGAAGCATCCAGCCATAGATGTGTAACTAAGTGTGAGGAACTGATGAGAAAATGTACTATGTGATTTTAGGATCCACGTATTGGCCGGTCAAATAATCAGAGGGATGATTTAATAAGCCTATGTTAAGTATTGGTTAAGAGACAGACATCCTAAAATTGAAGGCATATCTTTGGAGTTCTTATTAGTTTGAAACTTCTATTGTGGGCATATCTTGAAAATCTCAATGTCGCAGTACATTAAAGAAGGCAAGCAAACTTACTTGCTGAGAGGAATGTGCTCAAATGGTCCAGTCGTGGGAATTGTTCCACACAGATTATTACCAGAAACATCACTGAAAAACAATGAAGCCAAAATTATCACATGGAAGATTCACGTGGAGCCAACTGCACTCATCATTGGAAATGAAACTGTACTTACACAACTTTGAGGCTGGATATTCCGGCCAGCTCCCTTGGAATTGGTCCAGTCAAACGATTGCCGTTGAGCCGCCTATGAAAAGCACAACCGTGCGTTAAGCATAAAATACAGAATTATAGTATTACATCTGTACATAGCCGCTGCGAACGGATATCCTAGCACAACCCAAGACCATTAGAACAATACAGAAAGTTCATCTTTAGCATAAACAGCAATAAATCCGCATTCAGTTGCTAATATGTGATAACTATTTCATATGTAGAGAGTATTTGAAGAGCATAAAACTTACAAGAACACAAGGGACTTCAACTTCCCAAGTGTTGGAGGTATAGTCCCCGAAACGTTGTTCTTGTACAAGTCCAAGCTAATTAGGTTCTTCAAATCACCAAGTTCCGACGGGATCGTTCCTTCAATGTTATTTTTGTAAAGTTCCCTGTTGCAACACTAATAGTCAATACAACTGCATTGCATTGAGATGAATAATTAGTTAACATTAAACACTAAACGGAAAGTTCGATACATCAGGCCTTAATATCCTCAAAACAAACTCTACAGAAATAGAACGTAAACAAAATGCACCAACGGCAAAAATGGAAATGGATCCTACATACCTGTTCAAAACAGGATAATGTGCATTAGTTATTTAGTTAAACAGTGTACTGAACAGGTTTTCGGAGGACACCAATGAAGGACTGAAAATAGCATCATATCTACTTGTTTAACCTAAGGCATGTAATGGTCGTACAATACTATAATGGAAGCCATGGTCAGCTCCATTTATATCTGACTATCTTAAGATTTCTTAGTCATCATAGCAGGTTAATCCATGTCTCTACTATTCATTTTTTGCTTTCAAGTTCTGCTACCGACTGAGGATTCCATTAGCTTAATTAACATAGGTTGTAGTACTGTAAAGCTACTATATCATGTGACACAACTTAATACATAAGCTTTACACTGAAAAAAGAAGCAATCTAAATTATAAGTTGAAAGTTCAAACAAATTTACACCTGGAGGCTGGAACATGTGCCATCCTAGTTCAAAGTCTTTACCAACAACAAAGCTAGTATAAATCACATGCATACAAGTTAAAACTATCTCTTGTAGTAGATATAGCCCACATGATTTGGTAGTTACAAGAGCCACATATCCGACCAAATGACAAATCAATCAGCACTAATTTGATGATCAGATGCTACTGTTGGTGTTTTGCAAATTGCGACTTAAATGGGACACATCATCTACTTCAATGAATATAGTGTATTTTGCAGATGATGGAACTTTATGTGTAAACAGCAGTGAACAAAAATAATACAGTAGGTTTCATCTTACTACTGAGAGAAATTAGCAATAAGAACCAAACCACATGAAAGAAGAACTTACAGATATTGCAAATGCTCCAATTTACCAAGCTCGGGCACCAGATGACCAGATAAGTTCAAATTACCAAGATCTCTGCAAGATGGGGCATTTGAAGAGAACAATCAGATGAAGATATTCTTGTAAAATTTTGATCTCATATAAATACAAGAAATCATCGACAGCTTTTCTCCCAGAAAAGAGAACAATATGCATGTCCGCACTTTTTATATATATACAGCAAAGAAATATGTTACTCCCTCAGCGACAATTTAGCTAAATCAGCGACAATTAAAATGGATTGGATTGTGCTAAATCAGCGACAATTAATATGGATCAGTCATCGGAGGGAGTATAGTGAATTAGTGACTATTTTTAGATCCTAAGAATTATTGTTTGTTAAGATAGGGCATGCAGAAGAAAATGCAAAAAATTCAGGCATACAATGTTTCATCCGAGATCCCAAGGAACATTGGCAAGCACTAGGCAGTGAAAAATCATGGAGAACACAAACAACACCAACTATCCCAGCACAGTAACTTATTTCCCCCCGCCTTTTTTACTTTATTTCCCTTTTCAGTCTATATAAATGGTTTAACTTCTTCAGTCTTGGGAAACTTCAACCTTATTGCCCCAAGCAACAAAAAGAAAAACTTGAGAACACTTGCTCAAACAGATAACTTCCGATCAGACTCTTCTTTTGATTCACGTAGGACCATACCCACCCTTCGCTGCCAACAATAATCTACCAGTATTGAGTACTAAATCCTCGATTACGCAGATGCACCTAACACTGGTCTGTCCTGTCGGGAACAAATTATAGCTAGGAATCAACACAGCCGCTGCAAAATCGCTTGCTCTCCAAAGACGCGAGCCTGGCTATCCGAATCACCATGCACAGACAGACCACAGCCCCAACCCAAACCAAAACTAAAGGGCGAGCAAGAGAGGGGGACGCACAGGCGGGTGACGCGGTTGTCGCGGTCGCAGGTGACGTGGAACCAGGTGCAGGGGTTGACGAGGGTGGGGTCCCAGCTCTGCAGCACGCCGCCGGGGTCCCGCAGGCTGCGGCGCAGCGCCGAGAGCGCGTCGCCCTCGGAGTTTGCCCCCGCGAGCGCGAGCGCGAACGCCGCGACGAGGGCCAGGCCCAGGGCTCCGGCCGCCATGGGGAGACGGGCGGGGGAGATCGGCCGCCGGATCTGGACGCGGCGGTGCTGCTAGCAGCGGGTGGGGAAAGGTGGGAGGAGGAAGCTGCAATGTGTCTGCTCCGGTCCAGTGCGGCTGCTGCCGACGCCTCCCACTTTTGTATGCTCGGCGTGTGCGGTGGTAAAAAGTCAGTGGGAGGGCGTAGTGGAGCGGCCGGGCCGGACCGAGTTGGGTGGGTTGGGTTGGGTTCCTGGGCCATGCATGCTGGGTGGAAAGCCAGCGAATTGGTAGTTGACTTGGGTCAGTCTGTCCTCCTTGGGGGTCTTGTGCTAGGCTGTTCTCTGTCTTTTCTTGCCTTTTCCTTTCCTACTCTTCAGCTATATGTGTGAATCTTCTCGATTCCAAGTGGAAAAAACGTCTGAACCTGATTGGCCGGAGCTGAGCTTCTTCGCTAAGCCAATTATTTAGTCTTGTGGTGACGGAGATGCGCTAAACAAAGAGACCCGGTTGTGTTAGCCCTCAGCCGCTTTCACCCCTACCGTCGTTTTAGAATCCCCTTCCCACTCTTTGTCTTTGTAGGTTGAAGATGTAGAAACATATTCGTTCATTGTACATGCGTATCACTTTTTTTGGCTCCAATTTCTTTGCACTAATTTATACTCCCTCCGTTCCAAAATAGATGACTCAACTTTGTACTAACTTTAGTACAAAGTTACTATAAAATTGGGTCATCTATTTTAAAACGGAGGAAGTACGTACTACACTGCTGCATTTCCACTACCTTGAAAAGGCAGGGCGGCAGGAGAGACAAGAGCAGAGAAGATTCCATGTCACGCACTGGCGTGTGTGTGTGTGTGTGGTGGCATCGACATGTCCACGTCATGGTCCACTCGCTGGTTTCGCGGGGTTTGTTTCCTCGCTTTTCTACACGCCTTGCCATCCGCTTCCGACAGGCACGGGCTCGAGACTTGAGGGCCTCTGCTTTTCCGTTTTCCTATTGCTGCTGCTGCCCCTGCTTCCGCGTACCCGGCCTTTGTGAAGCAGGTTCCGTCTACCTTTGATTCGGAGCAGCGCTGTGTATAAAAATCGAGTATTCGTCCTAATTTCGGAACCTTGGAAAGGCACTGACTAGAGAATTCAGAAACACCGCTGCATAAAGTGCACTAAAAAGAACGGATAAGATAACTACCAAATGTCAGATTTTTAGAGTTTCAGCCCGAACGTCGTCTGAGCCGTTGGATCATGGTATGAATCTTGAAGCAAGAGCGGTCAGCCACGTCAGCGCGGGATCTAGTTCGGAAAATCAACGGGGGGTCGCGAACACTCATATCCCACTACTCTCCTTCTCCCAGCCACACCGCCCACTCCCAGCCACACACACCACCCCACTGCATCCCCCCACTCCTCAACACGGGCCTCGGAGGAAGTGCGTCGGCGACGAGGCGGACGGCGGCGAAGAGGAGACGTTGGTCGACCAAAGGAGGCGGGCGGCGGCAGAGATGAGGAGTGGAAAGAGCGCCGTCCCACAGTGCTAGGACCTGATGCGTCAATCAACATGTAGCGGTCGCCGACGAAGACTTTGACGGCAGCCATGGATGATGCGAGTAGGGGAGGAAGGGGGTGGCAGAGGCCTCAAATAGGGAACAACCACCGATTTAGGAGGCGGAGCGGCGGACGATTGTCACGACCACGGAGCCTGGGGGTCACCGGCGGCGAGGTAGTAGGAGGGGTCAGAGGATCTCGAGGGAGAAGAGAGAAGCACGTGGTAGAAGACAGGATAAGGAGAGGAGAATGAGAGGCTCAGAGCAATTCTATTTCAAATTCGATGCCACAATCGCCTTACACACTGGCTTATATAACACACGCCAGCCCACCCGAGATTACACGGCCACCGGCCCATGCCTGGGCACAGCCCACTTGACTCGTTCAAATGCTCCCGCCTTGCCTCGCCTGGCGATCACCTCGCACAACCTCACCTAGGCACTTATAGTACCCGCCCCTGAAGAACCAGCGTGTCCCCATGCTGGTGCTGACGGAAACCAGGTTGCCGATGCTGCTGGAAATTTCGTCCATTTCACCAAGATTTGAAGATGGCTTGCATTTCCTTTCTTGACCAACTGACATTCCAAAATTTCCTCAGGACCCCCCCCCTGGAGCTGGCAGGTCTATTGGCACAGGCAAGGTGCTAAACACTGGCGTATGGTCCGGCACATGATTCTTGAGCTGCGAGACATGGAAAATCGAATGCACTTAACTCCCCCTAGGTAGCTCCAAACGATAGGCAACACCTCCAATCTTTTCCAAAATCTTGTAGGGTCCAAAGTACTTTAGTGCAAGTTTGCGGCAAGGGCGATTAACCACTGTCGATTGCACATATAGTTGCAGTCTCAGATATACCATTTCCCCAACAAAAAACACTATGTCAAATTGTTTTTATCTGCAAAATGCTTGTATTTGCACTAAGCCCGAGCCAAATGATCCTTCAGAGCTGCTGTGTGTTGAGTGTGAGATGATAGCCAGGAATTCATATCAGGGTTTGGAGATGTAGGATGCCCCAGCAACTGACCTATGTTAGGACCATAACCATATAGTGCCTTGTACGGAGTACACCCCAGTGAAGAGTGATAAGTTGAGTTATACCAAAACTCTGCTTGCGGAAGACAAGTGGCCCATTTTGTTGGAAATTCATGTACAACACATCTCAGGTACATCTCCAGACATTGGTTTACTCGCTCTGTCTGGCCATCCGTTTGAGGATGGTAGGCTGTGCTCATTTGCAGTTCTGTGCCCCAGATCCCGAACAACTCTTTCCAAAAAGAACTGGTGAAAATTTTGTCCCTGTCTGACACAATTGTCAGGGATAGCCGATGCAGTTTAACAATGTCGTTGAGGAACACTTTTGCCACTGAAGCTGCAGAAAAGGGATGCTTCAAAGGAAGAAAGTGACTCACTTTGGTGAAACGGTCGACCACCACTAGAATAGTTGAATATGCTTCTGATTTATGGAGACCTTCTATGAAATCCATGCTGATAGCTTGCCAAGGACTGTCAGGCACAGGTAGAGGGTGCATCAGTCCAGGAACTTTAAACAGCTCATGCTTCGCCTGTTGACAAGTGCCACATTGCTTAACAATGTTTTTCACATCAATTTTCATTCCTTTCCAACTAAGAAGTTGTTTGACTCTGTGATAAGTGAGCAGAATCCCAGAGTGACCCCCTACAGGCGTGGAATGAAAAGCTTGTATGAGCTTGGTTTGTAATCCAGTATTTGCTCCTACCCAAATCTTATTATCTTGCTTGATAAGACCTTCCTGTAGCTGAAAACCAGGACAAGCAGCTAGATCCACAACTAATTGTTGCAGCATGGCAAGAGATTCTGGGTCAACTGAATAGGAGTTAAGGATTTCTTGTATCCAAACTAGCTTGCTAATTGAGACACTTTGGACAGATAACAAATGGGCTACTCTAGATAGAGCATCAGCTGCTGTGTTTTCCACCCCTTTCTTGTATTGTATTGAAAATTGGAGGCCCACTAATTTAGTCATTGCTTTCCTTTGCAAGTCAGATGTTAAGTTTTGATCCCCTAAGTGACATAAACTTTGATGGTCTGTCTTGATCACAAAAGGGGCTGTGCTTAGATAAGATCTCCATCTGTCTATTGCCATCATTATTGCCAAGAATTCTTTCTCATATATAAATTTCTTTTGGCTGTTCACACCAAGAGCTTTGTTGTAATATGCTATAGGATGTCCATCCTGAGACAAGATAGCCCCTGCACCAGTATTATAGGCATCTATTTCCATTGTGAATGTCTTGTCAAACTTTGGCAGAGCTAAGGCAGGGGTGTTAACCATAGCCTCTTTAAGCAATTGAAATGCTTTCTGAGCTACTTCAGACCACTCAAAAGCTTGTTTCTTCAAAAGAGCTATAAGAGGTTTTGTCAGAATACCATAATTTTGCACAAATTTCCTGTAATAGCCAGTCAAGCCCAAAAACCCTCTTAACTCAGTCACAGTAGTTGGAACAGGCCACTGCAGCATCATTTCAGTTTTAGCAGGATCAGTAGCCACATCTTGGTCAGAGATAATGTGCCCCAGACATTCCAAAGATTTTTGGGCAAAAACACATTTGCTCTCCTTCACAAACAATTGATTTTCTTTTAGTATATCAAAGACAACTTGTAGATGATTTATATGGTCCTCTAGAGTGAAATTGAAAACTAGAATATCATCCATAAACACCAACACAAACTTTCTATTTGGCCCAGCAAAAGCAAAATTCATAACACATTCGAATGTGCGAGGGGCAATAGCTAAACTAAAAGGCATTACTCCGAATTGAAACTGCCCATGGTGTGTTTTGAATGTAGTTTTGAATTCATCTTCTTCTTTCATTCTTATCTGATGGTACCCAGCCTTTAGGTCCAACTTGGAAAACCATTTTGCCCCTCCTAACTCATCTAGTATCTCATCAGTTACTGGCATAGGAAAATTGTTTTTCACTGTGATTGCATTCAACCTCCTGTAGTCCACACAAAACCTCCAAGTACCATCTTTCTTCTTGACTAATAGCACTGGAGCAGCAAAGGGACTCGTGCTAGGTGTGATTAGACCAGCTTCCAGCATCTCTTTCACTTGATTCTCAATCTCGTCCTTTTGCAGAGGAGAATATCTGTAAGGTTTGCAGTTAACAGGCACAACATCTGGCAAGAGATTGATTGTGTGATCAAAAGCTCTATGAGGAGGTAACATTTTAGGTTCCTGGAATACTTGCTTGTTTCTGTCCAGTACTTGTTGCACTTCTTGAGGGATCTCAGTTGCAGGTGGCATTCCTATCCTATTCAATAGAGCAGTGGCCCACACATCATTACCCTTCTCCCACTTTAGCGGTTTTTCAGCAGATACTTCCTCCAGATGGTCTTGTTTGACAGGTAGCACACCTTGCAATCTGACCTCTTGGCCTCCATGTTGGAACTCAATCCACTTGTCAGCCCAGTGGCATTTCATCACTCCCCACTTAT